AAAAAAAAACTGACTTGCACAATTCCATACTATTGTGTGGTACTGCAAAAGAGTTTGTCAAAGGCATTATTACACATATTCCTGCAGTGAGTATTTTTCCCATCTAAAGTGTTTTTCCTATTTCAAAGTGTTAAAATAAAAATAAATAAATTAATAAAATAGCATGATGATATTGTTGAACTTAAAGACAGATATGTACATCAATCCCCCAATTGCACCCTGTTGTTTTATAGGAAACAGTCTAAACTGTCACTTTGTTTCTAGTCTATTCTTTAGAGTTGCAGCAGAAGCTACATTTATACATAAATACTATCTACTATGGGAATTTCTGTACTTACCATCCAACTCTTCAGCCTCTGAGGTACTGCATCTAGAATGTGATGATCTCCCCAAGATCAAAGTTGAGGAAGTGGACTCATCAGTCTCATCAGTAGACGTCTCCTGGCTGCTCTGAAAACTAAGGCTTCGTGGCCTTTTACTTGAAGGGGTCGCTCCCTGTTTCTTTTTGGGGGTTGTCACATTCTGAAGCCTTTTCAAAAGCTGCTTCTTCACAGGTTCCTAACAAGACAGACAACAAATTGTTTGTGTTACTAATTACATTAAACTAAATCAGATCCAGAAATTAAACCATACAAACAGACACGTTGCGTATTAATCTGGATGAAGCACATTCCTCCTATTCTGAGTGTCAGATGTTTGCACCTTGGCTGCCATATATTTAACAGTACCGTGTTTGGAAATGTAATGAACACCTGACTCGTGACTTACCCACTCAGCTCCACTGGCTGCAGATTTGTCCCGCAGCATTGGGTAGTACTCTATGAGACGCTTCGCCATTACTATGAGTTCACGGGTGCATGGGTACTGGAAGCCATCCCCTGCTGCTCTCTTAATCGAAATCATGCTGGTTACTGTATTTCTGATTAATCGACAGTGAAGATCTTTGGAAAGGATATGCTCTCCTTCTTGTCCAGCACGCTGTTTTTCAAAAAAGGTGCTTCTTGATTGCTCCAACTCCGTGTCTGTGTATATGACATACTGTGGACTGACAAGCTGTACGGTCCTATGTTGGTCTCTTACGTTGGGAGAAGGGTCAGGAGATGGAGAGTGGTGTGTGGGTTGAGAGGAGAGGGGGCTGGAGTTGAAATCACAGGTCTCAGAGCAGGTGCCAGGTCTGCACGGGTCTGATTCTTGACCCTGCTTAAGATATGAAGTACATTTTATTCAGTAACAACTGAAAGGCAAAAACACCACCCAAAATTATCTTTAGATAAATGTATGATGGCCAGGAAATACTTCTTAAATAAAAGAAAATACTGCATTGTTAGACCAAATGTCAAACCTACATTACCTCATTTTGCTCATGAGTAAGCCTCCAAATGGTTCGCCTTCTGAAGAAGTGCTCAGGCCCCGGAAAGAGATCTCGCAAATCCTCCTTAGAGAGGCTGGACAGCATCTCTGTACTTATATTAGCAGCTGAAAAACACATTCAACGATATGGTAAATAGTTAAGTAATTAACAACTAATAACATATTTTATAGGCACAAATTGTCATGTTGCTATTAACACAGTCTGCTCCTCAGTTCCTCTCTGCCCCTGCTCACTACTCCCAGGCCATGTACTTTCCTTCAAATCCACAAACCTGCCTTTCTCAAACTAGTTTCCCAGGAGATGCTGCAGCTTTCTTTCCTCCCTCCGTCATCACCTGCCTGCCCACTGATATATAACTAACAAATATTAATCTTTAAAAATTAATTTTTAAATTGACCTGACCTAACACTGCATCAAGACAGTCACTTAACCTTAACTTAATTTATGAGTTACTTATTGTGATACATGAAATTAAACATATTTTTAACTGTAAACATTGTAAAACAACTTATTACCTGAGAAATGTTACTTTGTTGGTTGGTTTTTGGTATTTCTTTTGTTTCACTATCCAAAAGTATTGCAAATGTTAGTTATATGATGTTAAGTTGGCGCCAAAAACAGCGAAGCTGTTAATAGACGATGTCAATCATAAGGGCACATTTACACATTAACACTACTTCTGGCAAAAAAAGGAGGGGGTGTCAATTTATCCAAAGTATTTTCAACAAATGAACATACTGTTATTAACTGTTATCAGTCTGCACCTTGCTAGCTAATGCTAGTTCAAATTAGCTAGCATAACAACTTCCCGATTCAAATTGATTTTAGCTAACGTTTGCTAGTTATATTGCTAAACAGAAACTTAGACGAGTTTAAACAAACTAACCTTACCTTTCAAAACTGCGGTTGAAACGTCATCCATGCCCGGATATGTTTCGTCAATTCCAGCTTTATCCATAATGATGTTACAAAACATTTTACAATGTTTCAAACACTTATGAATTCAGTAAACATTTTTATGACATTTCTTTTATCTCATTCCCTTTTTCTACTGTTTTTGTTTTTGTCTCTTTCTGTCTGATATAGAAGCATTAACATCAATTCCTACATTTTATTATTCCTTCTTTAAAGGAAATCTCAGTTGTCTGATATCAACATCAAATTAGGTGTTTTTCTATTGCTTCTTAATGTAGAGCTTTTGAAGAGATCTTAATTTAAAGTGTTTCCGAGCATACTGAGTCTATATGGCAAATGTCAATCTTATCGTACTTCACACAATTTTGCTTACACAGGATTGTGGTATGTTAAATGAGTCTACACTATCCATTAGTGAACAAAATATGTTGACCCTTTATAATGATTTAGAGGCCAAATATCCTGGGAAACAGGAAATTGAAAATCAAGACACACCATGCTAAGTAACCTTTAAAACTACAGACTCTCCCTTTGATCAGTTTCTTCCTCTAACATTCCCTTTGCAGCTTCATTAGCTCAATGTATTCTTCATTTAATTTCTCACAAAGGCCCTGGGAGAAAACAAGATACGCCTGAGATATACTAAAGGCACCCATGCATGTGTCTGAAATAAACATTTTGCTTTGGAATCTATTGCTAAGCAGACCTTGTTAAAGCATTGCCAAATGAGTGCACAACACAATGCCTTGGGTGTGTGGTGGACAGCAAAAACAGTTCCAAGAGTTAAGGAAGTGTGAACTAGGCTTGGATGAAAATATTATTTGGTCCTTTATAGGGTAAAGGGAACCCCTTTAAATGATTATAATAAGAACTGAATCAATGCACATGCTACATTAAAGTATTTAGACAACTACCGTGTTTTCAAATACATCATCATCCACAGCCCTAACTGTTTTGTAAGCTCCATTTACTTTAGGTAATTGATTCCGTTTTCAGAGCTAAGACCTGTTGCATACTGTATAGCATAATATACACATATAGTTTGAAGTAGCATTATAATAGTACTCTTTAAAAAAAATTGCAAGTTCCTTTTAAGTTTAAAAGTAATGTCACAGACAAGTACCCTTTATTTTAAGGCCTAAATATTATTATTTTGATTTCTTCTACACTGATGGAGAAACATGTTTGTCATCTAGTGGAACAGCAAAGACATACAGTATGCAAAACCTGCACACGCACACATATTTGTGATTGTAACATGCTACAAACTTAGTCAAAGTGTCATTGTTGTTGATACTATCTTGGAAAAAGGTGTATGGTTGCCAGCCTGACCTAATCCACCTGGCAGTGCTGCTACCCAATCGCTAAATGCAGTTTGTGATGTACTGTATTACAATTGCAAATGTCAGCTTGTAGAGGGGGCTGCATGGTCATATACTTATAGAGCAGAGTCCCATCATGCAGTGGATTAGTTTACTAAGGTAGAGCAAATAGGAAGCGAAAAGTACTGCACTGAGTACAAAGCTTCAGGTATGCCATTATTTAAAAGTGTAAAAAGAGGAAGAGCTCCATAAGGCAAGGAAGCAAGATACGAGATGCATGTGAGCTAAACTAGCCAATATCCAGCCAGATGTACAAATATCATTTTGAACAGAACTGGGGATGTGAATAAATGATAGACAGGATATCCTATAAATCTACCGCAGTGTAATAAACAGAAGATAGTGAAAATCTCCTGCTCATTAAAGTGAAAATGAAACTGGACACAAATGGGCTTGTGTTTTTGTTTATGGTACTGGTGTAGTTTGTGTAACCAATTTACCTTTGGCATATATTTATTGTATATTTCCTCTTTTCTGCAGCATTCAGAGCTCATAAGTTAAGCTCAGGTTAAGTGTAGGAACATAAATTTTACTGGCTTGATTAATGTAGCATCACATATGAATGAGCAGGGGAAGCTTAGTAACAGAAATGTTAGCAGTCCACGATGGGTACCCCAGCCATAATATATAAAGAAAACTTAGATTAGATTGTTGGAATGCTACAGGAAACATCTTGTGTGTTGACTGGGTGTTATCCTCTGAGCACCAGTTAAATAAATACTTAGTGAACTCTCAGTCACTCTTCAGTCATTGTGCTGCCTTATCTGTGGGTAAAGAAGTAAAAAGAAATCACATTTTCTTAATCTATAAATATACTGAGTTCCTGCATATACAGTATATCTACCTGTACTCGTACATGTTTATCGCTGCATATGGCCCACATGTACAGTGTGCATTGATGTACCCTTTGGCCTGAATCCAGAAGATCTGCAGTGGCTGGGCAGTGGATGTTTGCAGACCTCAAAAATTTAATGAGACTGTTTTTTTGTTTCATCAGATTTGACACAAGAATGCCTGAATATGTGCTACTGTTTTCAGATTCCATTTTAAATGAACAGTATCAGTCTTACAAAAGTCCAAACCCTGGTGTAAGCCCTGGTGTCAGCCGGCCTGCTTTAGACTGAATGTAAAGCCAACCATACAGCTTTAATGAGGACACAACTGGCCAAGTTTCTCACTTAACAACTAAGGGTCAGATGTATGTGGGTTACTGATATTTTCAAGCCATCCAGTGTTGTGAAATCACTTCTTTGTTGGTCCCATTTTCACAGAGTAATAGAAATGAGCCTGGGGCACACAGCCCTCTGCATCTCATGCTCCACAGATAGATAATAATGCACTAGGTATCTTATACACTATGGATCCAATTAGAACAGCAGTGCAGTTAGACGGACAGAAATATTAAAATGTGATAATATCAGCAATGTCTGCCTGTGCTGCTACAGTTTTGTTTCTTTTTTTGTGTGTGTGGTTGGCCTCAGCAACACCTCTCTACATCAAGGTACATATCCTGGCTCTAAGACACAGGAAATTAAACTTGTTTTCATTCTCCTGATGGTTCCTGCCAGGAGATTAGATCACCATGGTGAACTCACCTCGCTTGCTGATGTAAACCCCTCTAGTGTCACACGGCTCTTCAGACGCCACAGTACGATGCCTCCTGCCACGTCTTTCCTGCCAATAATCACCCCATTAAAAAGAATAATTTTGCCCAGACTATGTACTGTACATAATCATCAATTAGCCACTGGCATTGAGATGGCACCTCTGCTAACCTCTAAGAGTCTGCTGGAGCCTCATTATCGAGAGTGTGACTCATCCATGATCACAGCCAGTGTCTGGGAAATAATAGGAATTGAAACATAAGCTCACTGCAAAAACTGAAATCTAAGTAA